GAATTAGGTTGATAGAAGTTAAGTTAATTAGATTAGGTTGTCACACAAAATTAGACTGAAAAATTGACACAATTTTATAATAGTTCTACATTGACGTATCAAGGGTATCCACCCTTGATTTCTACTTTTTTCTATTAGAACACTCTAAAGTTGATGGAATTAAAAAATTCGTTTAAGCAGAAGATTACACAAATATATCCCCACACTAGATGTTAAGCATTAGCTTACTTTTTTCTCCATTATTACCAAAACTCTCTAGAGTATATTCACCTAAAAATAATAGTAAAAGGCTTATCAATGATCTAGAGGCTGAGAGGCTAAAACTCCTTGATTTTTCAAAATTTTGAACATATGAAAACTTTGTGATGATTTTATGGACAAACCAAACTAAGCTTATTAGTATTTTAGTTAATTTTAATTGCCATCCTTGTAACTTAGTAATTGCATCAATTTTTTGTATTGTAGACTTGAAGTGCAATAATACTCTACTTACACAACACCTTGAGATATGTGGTGGTTAGAGCTAGTGATAACTATTTAGTGGGTTAGACTCATTGGATCCATGCTTGAGTGTGTTGTGATTGTCTTTTGGTGGGCTAGATCAAGTATAACTAGTTGAGGAGCGATAAGACTTTGATTGATATTTGGTGAGCCAAAGCTAGTGAATTTAGTAGTGGATTTATTTCATTGGAAGAAATTTGATTGCTAGTTCTATGATTACAAGAGTAACTGATAGGTTAAATGACTATATGGTTCTTGGGGTTGTTAGTACCTTGATGTAATCTTTATGAAAGATTAGCAACTATCTTGTGTGTTTGTTATTTTACTTAAATTACTTAAACAGTTTTTTCATTATTGTGGATTAGAAGAATTAATCTAACTCATCTATTTTAATTATATTCTAAATGTTCTAAAAAGGACAAGTAAATTTTGTTTTAGTTTCACCACATATTGTTTAAAATCAGATCACTAATTACTAGTGCCCATGAATAACAAACTTTAATCCTCATGATTACAACTTGTTACATAATAATCAGTATTTAATCCCCTCGCCCCCTATGCTACATTCGATGTCCTTAGGTCCATCCACATATTCAACTCGTCAAGTCAACCTTAATATTCCAATATGTTTCAAACTTCATCTAAATATTGTTGAGAAAATGAATTTAGTTTATTAGATGCTTTACAAGTCTTGACTGGAGCTTGGATGTGTGTAACAAATCCCAAACCTTGGATTTAGTACCTCTACTTGACATACATGCACTTGAAGGGGTTCAGGCCTTTGGATTTTAGGTTTGATATTCTTCTAGGGATTTTTTCACAACAATGACTTTTTCATGAGTCAACATGAAGGGTTTTGAGGAGTTCTTGAGAAAACCCATAATTGATTCACAAATAGTACAACATATTCTTGATTTTAAGCAAATGTATTAATTATATATATAAATTATATTCTAAAGTGTCATAATTTTGACTCATATTCATGGATTGTTGATGCTTCTTTATATCTTGTGATACTAATGGCTTATGTGTTGACTTTGTCTATTCTTGTTAAACTTTGAACTCAATGAGTTGGTCCATGTCAATTAGTTTAAGATACTTTCAACATGCCAAACACTGGGGTTTACATAGCTGAAGGTGCAAGTTTGACATGCAAGTGCTCATTTATTGCAAACCTTGGTTTATAGTTTATAGGACTAAATCTTTTTTATTGAACTGAACAAGATAATTTCAATGATTATAAAACTTTTATTTTTCTACTAGTTGGTTGAGACGTGTGACACCTACTGTATTGATGGTACTTTCCTTTAGTTATACTATGTTCCATAAGCACAACATTGAACAGTAAGGTGTTTGCACATCCTTATTTAATTATATTTAATTAAATTTCCCTTAAGCTCTACTATCTATCATAAGTACAGCCATCACAAAAAGTGTCAACTCTTTTCTAGAAACAGAAAAACAGGTCACTAATGTTGCCCATGTGGAGAAGAAAAAGGATAAGTGTGATGATCCTTAGTGGAGTAAGGTCTAACACTTGGTTATAGTTAATATACTAATGGGTTGAGACGATTATTTCTAATATATTAGAGGGTCAACACTTATTTTTCTGGCATCAATGCACATAGTTTTGTAATGAGTATTTTGACTGATATAGAAAGCCAAAAAATCTATGAAACAAAACCATTTTTTAGTCATTGGAGGATCAACCTTTAGTAATAAATGGCTTGGAGCTAAAACAAAGGCAAAGAAGAAAGGGAGATTCTTAAACTTCAAGCTCGGATGAGACTGATCACACCTAATCAGTGATAAATTTTTACACAAATTTGACGAGTGCATTCAAATGCGAGTCAGAAAATTATTTGGTAGATTGTGCCATTGCTTCAAAGAAAGAGTTCTCCTTCTCCCAAGCTGTTCCGAAATTTCGTAGTTGACTCAAGCCCTACAGCCTTTCGAATACTTTCACAATTTAGGGACCGTCTCCTCAATGAGCGTAGATTGATGAAGAAGGCTTTTGTGCCTCGCCTATCGAAGTTCTGTTCAAAAACCTCATACGAGAACTTGTATAGAGAAGGATTTCTTGCAAACTTTTAAAAGCATACAAGATTCAAGTGAATGCTTTAAGCATTCCATAATTTCCTCATCTATGTAGGAAGCAGCGTAACTATTATATTTCACTTATTTTTCTTTCCTAACACTTGCTAGTGAATAATGTTTGTAATGTTTACTCCAAGCTTGAGAAGGTCAACTTAGTTGTATTGAGGCTTTAACAAAGCCATTATTCACAAGTTTGTGAGAAACATTGTGAAATATTTGTGGGGATTTGGGCCTGGAGAAGGCATAGGGATTAGACATATATGAAAAGCTATATCAAAACATATTATTAAAAGAAATATAACATGTATAAAATATGTTATTTAACATAAATATTTTTGTACAACTTTTAATAGTAATATTTGCAATGATTTGGTGAAGCATTGTATTCCATTACTTGTTCAAGGAATGCAACAAACAACATTATTTGTCGACGAGCTAAAGATAGGATGAAATGTTTGTGATAGTTAATTACATATTTGAATCAAGCACTATGCTGCAAGATAAATGTGAAGGGACATCATATTGGTGTGCTCACCTAGTTGAGTAACACATTTTAATGACGATATTGATAAAAACAACACTTAGACATTTCCTACATAATGCCACATGTCATTAATGCCTTAAAAACATAGGTCAACCCTCTTTCCACTAACATATACATGTCTATTTTGAGACTATGTTTATTTTTTTTTGTTAGCATTCCAATGAGCATATTATCAAGGTATTATATCTTGAGTTAAAATCATAATAAATTAATGAATGATGAAGCAAAAGTAGTAACACTAAAAGTAAGTCTATTTATCAACAGATCAAACTAAATTCCTTACGACATGACCTAAGAGTTGTTAAAAACAGATCTTAAGTAATTGAATTTATGACAATATTAATTATGCCAAGAAAACATGTTCATCTTTGGTAGTAGTTTTGAGGATTTAATAAATGATTTATTAACTAATATGCATAAGACCTGAAGGAAATAGGACAAGGATTTTACCAATTTAAAAGAAAATGAGTAAGTATTTGTGCTTTTGTTAGTGAAGAATGAAGACTTGTTTAATTGTCAACACATGTCTTTTATTAGTAAAATAGCCTCAATTGTCAAAAGGAAATGGAAGAAGTTGCAAGCTCTAAGCATTTTTGAGGCAATACTTTTGAAATTTTTCTCCCCCACCCATAGGTAACCATTTCATTAGTCTAAGAATAAAAAGGTTATCAAAGTTGCTCATTTTTCAGAAGCTCATTTGGAACACAAGCTCATAACTTTGCTCAATATTATTTGCGGTTATCAAAGTTGACATGTAACTTTTCAAAAAGTTAAGTTTACTATTGAGAAACATTTTACTTTGTATGAATACTTAATTATAACATAAGGAAAGCTGGATGATAACTTGTGTAGTGCATAATGCAATTCCTTGGGTATCAAGTAGACATGGGGAGCTGAACCATTGCACACTTGGGCATTTTTGTGAGAATAATTGTAACATCAGCACCTTCAAATCCACATTGGCTACCATGAAAAATTACAATCCCCTCCTACTGAAGCATGTACATTGGGACTTCACCACCTCTGTGGAGTTATTAGGATTGAGACTAGGCTACAACACCTCAATCTCTTGACCCAACGTGGGTAGCCCCAAACACCTCTCTCCCTCTAAGAAAGGCCCCTCACACACAACGATTGAAATTTTGAAATCTGTTTTATCAGTCTTTCTTCAAGTTAAGACAAAAGAAAGGAATGAAAGGGCTTTCTATTGGCGACTACCTGGTAGTTATGTTTGACCTTGAATGAAATTTATAGATTCTACAGCAATGGTCCCTTGCTACCCTGCCCATCACTATCCCTCACACCCCTAAGTGGCTCTCCACTCAACAGCCATTGCAGGGGAATGTGGCAAGCTGGGGACGAGCTGCTCTCCATGGCCATGCCATAAGAGAGCTCTCACCTATGTTGGGGTCTTTAGGAGACGACCACTCCCAGGAGGGACTTGACATGAACGGTAGTAGAATGAAGACATGCATTTATTTTGAGAACAATAAAAGCTTAGCGGGCCTTTTTTTAGCAAATCCCCACTCATTCAGTGACATGGCCAGACCCACAAGGGAAAGCTGTCATTACGAATGTACGCTCATTAGATTATGTAAGATATAGAAAAAAGCACATTCCTTTTGACACTAACACCTATTATTTAACTATCTAGGAATGTACAAGATGCATAGTTGAGGAAAAAATAAATCGCTCAAATGGACGTGGGTCTTTGCAAGATTCTTTCTCTCCCTATAGATATACACTCTTGAGATAAGCAGCTGTCGTCACTAAATATATATGAAGAAGAATATATTCATTTGGAACAGCCAAAGAGAAGAAGAAATAATAACAAAAGAATACAAAAAGAGGCATACCATTAAGCTTTACTTGACAATCGGCATTGTGACATGTACTGGGTAACTCTGCTCAAGGCTGCAATTTTGGATTAACCCTTAGAAGAAGATATTATTCTGTCCAAATTCTACCAAGAAGCGATCTAAAGAAAAATGGTTAGATTACCAGGAATCCGTGAGAAATCTGGCCGAATTCCATTTCCGTTTATGTCCATATGATTGGGTGTGACATACTTTCCAATGGTAACAGCGACCCCTGATCCATCGTGAAGCTCGAACACCGATTGAATCAGTCCCTAGATGAATGAAAATGATGAGAATGTTGTGAAATAACCCATATCAATCAAATAAACAGGTTGAAATACTATCAAAAGTTATATTTGGCTGTCTCTAGTTCGTACTTTGCCGTATGTCTTGTCACCAACGAGAACAGCTTTGCAATTGTCATGAAGCGCAGCAGCCACCTGTGAACCAGTCTGGTTATAGCATTCATTACCCTATCTAGAAAAATATTCTTGTAAGAAGATCATGTAAAGGAACTTAGTCGCTCACAATTTCACTAGCACTTGCAGTCTGGCCATTCACTAGGATCTGCATCAGAAAGGTTTAATCATCAATTTCCAAAGAAAAACAGGTTCTCTGTACCCTCTGATGGGAGCGGCTTTTAATATACTCCTCCATTAGTGACAAATTAAACGCACACATTCTCAGAAGCAATTGATTTTTTTTTTCTTAAAAACGCTTTGATGGTACACATTAAAAGCCGTGGTCTTCAACGTCAAGGAAACCATGTGAATTTGCATAACTCGACTTATAAGAAACCAGCTTCACATGAACCAGAGCATATAGGCTTGTGAAATGAGATTGAATCAACTGCATAGGGAACCCAATTGGAATGAAGTTTATGGTACCAGAAAAAAATATCAGTTAGAAGCTCAACCCTATCAAGAATTACGATACACATAACAGTACTGCACATTGGCCCATTAATATAAAATTAGATGCAAGATAAGGGGGCAATAGGGTGCAATGCCAATCTGTATCACCAACTAATCTGACACATAGAAGGCAGAGAACACAGCACTACTCATGATTCTGAGTGTTCTATTCATTGACTGGAAGGAGGGCATGTGAAACAAAGATTCCTAACATATGTTTAAAGTGAGAAAAAATACATACTATGAGAGGTGAGGTGAAAACGGGTGCTTTTTCTGCAACAATAGTTCTCTGAACTTCAGGATCCCGGCCTACTGTGTAAATAACCTGGAAATTTTGCAAAGATACTCACAACTTTAGCACTATTTCTAGTGGTTAGTGGCATTGCTGTACTTATGTAAAATTCGTATTTATCCTGATGTGCACGGATGGAACTATAAAGCAATAGAATGATGAATTCATCACCATAATTACTAAATTAACATAACTCCTCATCCACATTTTAAATACATAAACAATTAAGTTCGAAGTAAGGTCTCTTGTTAGGACTCTTAGAGAGTTCAAAGGATAAGAGGAAGTAAATTTCATTCCATGGAATCAGCCTTTTGCCATAAACAATTTTTGACAAATGTTGACCGACCCTAGTCAAGCCCCCAATGAATTCCCCTTTGGATAAGTAGAGAGACCTAGTCTACATAGTTGAAGGGTTGGAGGTTCCACCAAGGCCTACCAGCATTTCATACAAGAGAGCTTTGTTGCTAATTGACATTCAAAAGAAGAGGAGGAATTCGCCAGCCAAAGGACCCTGCACACCAGCCTTGAAATCCCCTGCTATGTCCCAGATGAATCAAAGCCAGGCATCAGCACTAGAACGAGGACAACTTGTAATGGGCAAGTTCCAGAAATATGGTTATTCCTCAGTGTGGGCCATTACTATCTTAAATTCGTGGAAGTGCGCTCATGGAAAACATGGGATCCTCACCAACATACTGAATCAGTATGCAAAGTGACTCATGGTGGTGACAGATAGCATTTTCTCGTCTTACCAATGGATGGTAATGGTGTGCACCATAGTGCCCTTTCACCCGCCCATTTCCTTCTTCGGCTTGCATGTCAATGCCGGCCAAGGTTGCATCTACATCACCAAGCATCAAAGTAACGAGGAAGGTTTCTTCAATCTTACGCAAGTGAATACACCTAAGAGAACCTTAGTGTCTACCTTGCGACCTTTTATGCCAAATTGAAGCTTGGGGGTACTCTCATTCTAACATACTCTAGATCCTCAAGGTGCTTTCAATAGTCCAAGACATAATGAGATTCTTAGAGAACGAAGTAGGCACATTTTAACCCAATTAGACTGGGTGAAGGTTTAATTCCTCACTGCTCCCTTCGCTTTGCCTTTATAGTGGTCCCACCTCTTCTTCCCATCACTTTACCTTTTTTCTTGTTTAGGGTCAGACAATGTAGTCGACTTGTAATTCAGCATTGCGTCCACCAAGGTTGTTACTGCCTAGAGTTTCTTTACTCCTTGCAGCAAAATTCACTTTGTACCTAATTCCATGGTTTGTCACAAATTGAAGAGCTTGTACACTTCAAACATATTCTTCATGCCGAGAAAATGAAATTGAATAGCTAGATGCAATCTGAGAATACCTTAGTGTGTTGAGCCTTGAAGGAGTTATGGTTCCCTAACTCCCTAATGAATTATTTTCAGGCCTTAATCTTGGCTACACCTCATTCTTGAGTTAGCTAGAGAAGTAATTTCTTTCACAAATTACTTAACCTTCAAAACCTTCACATGTGAACACCAAGAAGCCATTTGCGGTTCCTAACACTAAAAGTGATTTTGGACAAAGAAAAGAAAAGAAAAACTCAGTTTATTACTGAAGAGTGATATATACATTGGGACCAGAAAGGTTTCTTCTCCTCTCATACGTTCCCTCTTATACACATACTGTAGGCCACAACTGCATCTTTGGTCAATGATTTGAAAACCATTTAAGCAACTACATGCAGAATCGTGGTATAAGCCTGTATGAAATTGTCATTTGCATGACGCTCTTTGACTTGCATCTGGTGCATGGCTATTCAATGACTGCTACAAATGCTTGCTTTATGATGGCTACGCTTGCTTCTTAATGGATGCATGCCTACTCCAAAAGGTCAGATCTTGTTGGCACCTGCCATGCTTGAGACCCATTGGGAGCCAACTCTGAAATTACTATACAATTGCTTTGAACATGTCCAGTGCCTAATGTGCCAGGCACCCAATGCATATTTGCCACGCAGTGGATATGTCCATACACTGCATGCACCTGGCACCAATTCCTTATTCTGTTCTGAATCAGGCTGTCCCTCTTATCATGCACAGAAGACTCATCTTTTCATGAAGGGATCATCAGAGAAAGTCCATTTACACTAGAGGAAGCAAGTGTTCTCCTTAATGGAAAGACAAATTGCAAAAGATAGAAAAGAAAAAAGGGGCAGAAAGAAGGCAGTTGATCAGACCAATTGCCCCTTCAAGGCCAACATGCTCTTTCAAGTACACAAAGGGGCTTTATAAAATGACCCCCAATCCCTTCAAAGAAAGCTAGACGAGGTTTTGGAGTTCAGCAGATAGGTCTAGAAAAATCTGTGGATTTGCTAACCAAAAAGTCTGATTCAAATCAGACCTTGAAAAGCTAAACAAAGCCCTAATCCATCCTAAAGATCGATTCATTTGGATTAGAAGCACAACTGAATATACTCTATGATGTCATTATAAGAAAACAGCCATACAGTGATATCTAATATACATTAAACCCAAATTACCGTCTGCCCTTTATCAAGGAAGAGCTTTGCAATCTCAATACCCGCCTGAAAAAGAAGCAGTGTTATCATTAACAAGAGATATAATAGCCTATGTACTTAAAGACGGTAAAATATGCATTGGGTAAATTATTTTTAAATACTTTGCCACTATAAATCTTGGTACTTGACAAATACTTTGGTACTTCCATTCAGAGAAATGAAAAAATAAATAAATTTGAATAATAAAACATATGATAACTTCCAGACAAAATTTATCCAGGTGCTTTTGTTCCAAGGCGTAAAATTTCTATTGATACAGAGTAAGAATTAAAAAAATGATCATACTTGAACTCAAATGGCAAAATAATTCAAGAACATTTTTACAAGGATGGATCAGGTAAAAGTATAATGACAAAATAATAGAGTTCGAAGAATCATCACGATTTCTCAATGGAACGGGACGAAGTACAGATATTAAATTAACATATTATTATATACTCCCTTCCTATATACATCTTGTCATATGTAAAAGCACAGGCAACACAAAATTACATGCCATCATCCAGGACATCTATATTAATAGTTGATATTCACAGGTAGAATTTACATAGGTCAAAGTTTTCGCAGATAGCATGCAGACGTTTCGTATGTAGACCCCTAGATGATTCAACATACTAAAGAGTGGCCAATTTGATTTTGATGAGCGAGGAGTAACATAATCTGTTCTTGTACTTATAGTTGTTCTATATTCACAGGTATTTCCGCCATGAGGTCAATTTTATGTTCATGAAATATTAATTTAAGAACTAAAATATTTTTCACATCATTATCTCTTATCAATTCACTTTTAGTGATATGCCTGTACATTCTTTAATTTTACACAAGGCATTGGAAATATTACAAAATGTACCCTCAAGGATTAAAATATTAAACCATATCAGTCCTACCCATGAAAATCTGAGAATCATGTTTGTAGACCTGGCTCGATTCTTCAGGTTATTGGACTAGCTATTGAGACTGCCTCCACAAACCTGACTTAATGTATCATTCATAGTTCATCTCATAATGCCATGCTAGCATTTTTTAGACAAATCTCTAGAACATCAAATACTATTTTCCACCCATCTTGACTTTGAATGAAACTAAGAATCGAAAAACAATCAAACTTCCACATTTAGGTCAGTTAACTGGTCTTTTTTAAACTATATCACAAAATTTGTGCTTTAAGAATTTCAATGCTGAGCAATTGAAGGATAGCATATCTAAAAAATGAAAGAACCTGAACTAGTCCACCACGGTTATCCCTCAAGTCCAGGACAAAGGAAGAGGCACCAGCATCTTCAAGACGCTTCATTGCTGCAAAATTACAAAAGATACGATCATCAAATAAAGCAACATGGATGGGCTAGAAAGGAAACGGACAGGCAATATACCCAGAAGAGGGGCACAAGCAAGGATCGAATGCAACAATCATTTACCAAAAATATGCATACGCCAATAGCTGAGCTAAGTTTAATATGGAAAATACCTAACAGAAATGTGTTCACCAACAAAAACTCCGCCAAGATCAAAATTCATAGCTGGTGTCTAACTAAGTAGCGATAAAACAATAAAAAAGCTGCCAATGAGTTGCAATCCACACGACCAACCAATACGGGATCAAAATTGAAACGAAAAATCAACCAATCAAAAATTTTGAAACGAAAAACTCATCACACAGTCAACATTGTTTTCAACATTCATGAAAAATAAGGTCACATAACAAAACGTTATTACTCCACATTGAAAAAAGATGTATACCAATAACTAAATCCTTCTTTGCCAATGCATTGAATTCTTTCAACTGAACATATCCAATATAAGCTGCGCCACTCTCCATTTTCTCTAATCTGTAGAACACAGGTGTTTGAGCAACTGATTGCCTTTTGACTTTAATAGAACGAACTTGACGACAATCTCTGTGTTGAACCTGTGAGGATACGAAAATTACAGTACTTGAAATAACTAAATATGATGCACATAAGACAAGATGAAACGGCTATTATACTAACCTCAAGATTAACAAAGGTTTCCTTGGGCCCTTGTAGCAGTGATGAAACTTCAAAACTTGATTTTCCCCTAATATCCATTCCATTAACGGACAATATCTCATCTCCCTATCAAGAATCCACAAGACAAGAATATTATATCTGAAAATCATAAACCTCACACAAAAATTCTCTAAGGAGAAGAGATGAAAGATTTTACATTTTTATTGAAAGTGAGAACACGTACAATAACAAACTATTTCTAATATATTTTCCTTTCGAATCTCACCATAAATAGAAGTTTTTTCAGGAACTATAGTCATCACACGATCGGAAAAAAAAGAATGAAATCTGTCTCATTGAGCAGACTGAAACATCATGAAAATCTACCGTGAATAATTTAAAACTTTACAACACGTATAGACCATACTTTTAAGAACTAGTAAATCCCAATCAAGTGCACTCTGTTTTTACCAGCCTCAAGCTCTTCACAGTGACAGAAAAACGAAAAAGCGCAATAGTTTTACAATCAACAAAATTAAACCGTTCCATGACTGAATAATAAGCATCCCACTGTAGAATCAGTTCATTAATAACTGCTTTAGTTATTACTGAAAAATAGGAGAAAATTGGCCCCACTTGTCCACATTTAGTTGCATACTATAATCTCCAACATGCTGTATCACAGACAACATTAGGTACGATAAGTATATTTTCTACTTTATGGTTGAGTATTCCATGAACAAAGAGGCTAAAGAATTTATCTGACAAAAATCATGTAACCAAAACAGTTAACTGTTTTGACTCCTCTCCCTGATATCTAATACTTTTGATCTTGAATAGGTGAAAAATACAAAACAGTTAACTATTAAAAACATGATCTGTGAAATATTTTACTCGTAACTTAAATAGAGGAAAAATCATCAATCATGCAACCAAACAGAATATCCGAATAGATTCTGTTTATGTGGATAATTTTCGAGAAAATAATCACATAGAGAATAGTAAACCACGTTTCAGGGAACTCAATATAGAGTCGTAAGAGCTTAGACAACCCATCTGAGGTTGACTCGAAGAGCTTCATGGTTATTTCTATTCTTACAAAATCAAAAGAACAGTAAGAGGTGGTCAAGATATTTTCGATAATAATGCCTCTGAAACAAGAAACAACACGATTTCTACGAGATAAGTTTTCTTAATTTTTCAATTTCAAATGAAAATAAAGTTTGCATTAATGATATGATTTTACTGAAAACAGTATTATTCAACTAAGAAAGCAGTTTTCATTAAGTACAGAAGCTCAGAATGGCGATTTCTAAATGATTTTTTTTCTAAAGTCTAGCTGTGTACATATATTTGAATTATGCAAATCTTCATGAAAGAGTTCATTTCTTACAAATATCTAAACTGGATAATGGATGCCATTGGCATCCTTTGGGCACTATCAAGAACTCTTCTCAGTGGTAGTCAGCCCACATATGGCATCTCACGTACATCAATAGATCCACGTGTATAGAGGTTTTTCAGACCTTTCGTGGATAGACATTATCCGGGTTAGGTCAATCAATGAAGATCAGTATCAAGGGTAGTCTTTTTTTGGATAAAAACTTAAAAGTGGGATGACATCAAGTTGGCAAAGGCAAGAAAATGCTGCTGCGCGCTTTTGGATTCTGTCTTCGAAGCCCTAAGCTCACACAGGTTGAGGGGATAACAATTCAGTAGGATAATCATCAATTTACTAACACATTACAATAGTAGAATTTTCCTTTATTCATAACTTCCCCCAGTTCATTAACTTCAAAAATATAAAAACTTCCTTCAAAATAGTGGCCAAATGTTTACTAGCGAAAAACAAGATACAAAGTTCTTTTGAGTAATACAAACAAGAACATTGTAAAACTGAATCATCATTTAAAAATAGGCATACACGTTACTATTGAGAAATACATTGCCATTATTGACTTAACTTATGATTGATTACCAGGAGCAATCACTAATTTAAACGAAGATTAATTGAAATCTCTAGTCAATGACTAAAAAAGCTGAAACAATGAACAGACTTGGAAAGGCATTATACCTGTCTAACCCCGGCCAGATAGGCAGGACCATCTAGTATTATACCCAGCACCTTCAATCTGATAACACCAGTGTCATCAGGAATCTCCCTTAGATTTATACCAATTCCAGTCAAGTCATATCTGGCCATCTTTGAGAACTTTCAGTACAGATATATTGACATAGACATGAGAGAAAAACTGAAATCATTGTCAGTAGACAACAAACTGAATGATGAAAGAAACTCTGAAAGATACATTCAAGTATTAACATTTTTTTGGCTTCATGTGAATCTCAAGGGGACAGCTCAAACTCATCATAATTGTATAGAACTCTTTTTGGAGACGTTAAATATTCTGGCTGTGGAAGGGAACAGTAAAGCTATTGAAGCTTTCGACACATCAAACATAGGTTTTCGATATTCTATGTCAATCCCAGAATAACGTGATAGACCTTTCAAAAGATAGTTATGAAAAGTGAAGGGGAGAATATGGTTTAATTTATAGACCTAACCTGTACACAGTTTTCTGAGCAAGTTTTAACAACTTCGTAAAAGCATCAATTACTCTAATTAATGCTGATAACTTGTATATGAATCAGAGAATCGTTAACTGAATTGTTTATTAAGCAAGTAAATAACATGACAGAGAAGATAAAATTGAAAAATCATTAAAAAATATAATTGTACACAAACCCAAACAGAGGATAGCCATCTCAAGTTCATCAGAGAAATATAATTTTTCATTCGCATTATGCTCACTCTTCCTTGTTAATCAATTCAAGAAATCTAGCAATGATAAAAGATACGATTCCATACTAACAAGATAGTATTCTATAATCCGGAAAATTCAGATCTCCGAAATGAAATCATGACATATTTAATTGATTTTAGCTAGCATTAAAGGGCAAATGGATGTCTCCATTGAATCCATGGAAAGAATGAAGCAGATGTCTGTTGTATACCTAAGTACTGCAAACCTTGTTTTAACTTCATGGGATCACGTGAGTAAGCATATGACTCTCTTTTTGATAGGCCTCAAGGTATGCAGAAAAAGGAAAAACACCTATTTCAAAGTTTTTTCTAAGCCACCACGCACCTAATGACACAACAGCTCCACGATTGGTTCAAAGCCACAATGCCACATTTCGATATGCTTTGAATCACTTGGAGGGAGAAAGAAAGGTGGACAGATTTGAAAATCAGTTTATCAATTATTGTCTTTAAGTTTAAAGATATATTCTCTTTTGTTTATGGTGAATGAGACCCCCCCCTGTCTGGTAAACTGAAGAGCATAGCACTACCGTATAAAATTAAGAACTAGGAAGCTGTGCTAATCTAATATTTAAACTCCTTTCGACCTTCATTATATCATATGATATATTTCTCTGTAGAATAAGTTTTATACTTCTGTTAGGTTTTTTTGTTGCTGTTTGTGTAAGAAATTTCTTGCATTTTGGACATCTAAACTTGTGGGATTAAAAACTATAGTTAGCCAGGGTCTCTTTTATCTTTCTAGAATTTTCGAACAGGGGTTTCTTCTTTTTTCAAGGAAAAGGCAAACACGATTCCCACATTTCATAAACATATACGTCTTCCATACAAAAACATGACGTTTTTTCATCATTATCACCCGTCCACAAAAATGCATATTTAAACAGGAGTATTTGACAAGGAAATATAATTTACTAGTTGTTTTGAAATTTCGTTAAATGAATTGAATCGTTGAGAAATGTTTAATATTCGCGTACATCATTCATAACTGACAATTTGACAAATATGGTATCACTTCGGTGAAACTTCAAGTTTGATAAATATAAATATTTGTGTCTGAAAAGGTGCAAAGGATCCAGGTCCTTGAGAACCCAGTTTGCCAGTATGTTTATTTACATGCAGATTGAGTTCGTAATAAGAAATTCTGCCTTTTAATTCCAAAATAAAGCTTCAATACAAGGCTAAAACCGATTATGTATCCCAAGAATCACATGATAGATAAATGGAACAGAAATCCTTGTGTCAATACTTCTTTCCATTCATACAAAGGTAGAATTATATACATTGGGAGGAACTATCTTCGAATCATTACCTCTGTGGGAGTAAGGAACCGGGTATAGGAATCACCCAAGCTAGCCAACATCTTCCTTACAGTGTCGTGTGCACTTGATCTTGTTCGAATTGGGCTATTAAGGACATCATTTCTCTTTTGCTGATACAAGAAAATTACAAAGTAATGAAAAGGACTACAAGAGAAATGCCCATAGAAACTGAACAGTAAATACCCTTACAGCCGTCTCTCAGGATTCATCAAAATAGAAGACAATTAAAATTCATGGGATTAAACGAGAAATGACCTTGTGCTTAAGTGTTACATGGTATCAAACAAATGCCTGAGACCGTATGATCATTTACATCAAGTAGAATTTGTCATACTAGGAGAAAAACCAATATGTCTAAAGCTTTCAATTGTTAAACGACCACAACTGGAAAACGTGGCAAAGTTTGTCACCTGAAATACATTTTTGATGCTATGCTTGATCATCTTAAAACTGCTGATACATGGTCATGAAAATGAGGTAATGTATGAAGTCTTTCGTGTGCACATATATATATATACTAATGAAAAAGGAGATAACTCTAAACCTTATAGAACAAAACAGTTGGCACAAATTTTCTCTAGAGGGATTAATCACTGTGCAGGTTTTTATGAAGGTTGTCAGGTATGAACCTTGATATAATTCACACAAAATAACAACCGATTCCGCAAGCTGAGTTTTCCTACACAAATTTTGCGGAATGTTATCAGCCACTACCCCTTATTGTCTTCAATTCTGTTGGAAGGTCTATAATAATTCAATCTTCTATGAAATACAAGTCAATATTTTCTTCTATTTGTTTCAACTGAAAATTGGGCCTCCATTAATTTGGTATCAGAGCTAGGTTTCGATCCTGGGACCTGTGGGTTATGTGACGGAGTCTTAGGAGATCAACCATCTCAAATTGGCCATTGTAAATCCTTTCTTTCCATTCTTCCCTGTTATCCTCTTGTCAGTCCTGTTCTCTTGCGAGGATGTTCGTCTTCAACTCTGTCAGATGGTCTGTAATGATTCAGTTTTCTACAAAATACAAGTCAATCTTTTCTCCTATTTGTTTTGACTGGAAATTGGGACTCCATCAATTTTTCGGTTCTGGTTTACACATCATAGATTCGCAGTTACTCTTTAGTTTCCATCAATTTGACATGAATAAGCAAATACATTTCAGAATATTTTCATAAGCTTAGGTGCAAGACGTCATTCAACAGAGCACGAACCAGTGTATCAAGAAGATATTATAAGCACCATTTCAGCCTAGTTGATCTGCATTAAGTGCAGCTGTGAAAACGTTGGTCATAAACTATAATCAATTCGTCATAAAGTGCAGGAGGTATATCTTGAACTCCACTTGGAGATTATGTGGAAAGCTGCATCAGACAATAACAATGAGACCCCAGTGGGCTTCAATGTCCTTCTTCAGAAGCCAATAAAAGTTTGTAACGAACAGCCGTATTATCAGAGACTAAAAATAAAATCAAAAGGAAGGTGAAGGTGAATGAGAACTCCACGATTTCAATTTGCTGCTCGAATTTTCCTGAATTTCTGAGGCCTTTTTTCAACCTTTCCCTTTGCATTAGTTGAACTGAATCTAACCAGATATATACCATCGTCAATATCGTCGACCTAATTTTGCAAATATGCTTCTAGTTTTCTGCAGGTTCTCCAATTCCAAAGTTTAACATAGGAAATTAATATATTTAACCATTCGCTATGGAAGCTACCATACCTTTACGATTTCAAGATTAAAGGCTTAATTATCCAAAAAATAAATCTACATTACGCCAAATATGATTATAGACTCAATTAAGAAATTTTCACTACATAATTTAGTGATAATTAAATATTTATATATACATAAATTCTGTCACCCTATGATCGCTACTAGCTTGTGCTATTCTGCAAATTCGAATGAACATATTTTAAACTTGATATGTATATATAAAAGTGAAAAGATCATTTTTTTTCTCTTGTATTTTTGGTCCTCCCAACCAAAGGAACGTCTTTAAAGAATATGACAATCTTGGAGAAACCTCGAGGGGGTTCAATTAAGAGCAGACCGGTCGAATCTAGCGTATGAGCAAAGTTGACTCAACACTAATGAGAGGATTACTCACCTGCCATTTCTCCGGAGACCACCCGCGGTTCCCGGAGTCCAAGAAACTCTCATTGACGACTTCCCACGCTTCTTTCACAATCTCTTCATTGGTGATCACTGGCGGCGGGTTCCTCTCTATGGACGATGGGTCCTGCTCTTCCTCCCAGGCGCAACGCTCAGCCGGAGGAGAGTCCAGAGGAAGCTGAACCGCCGCCACGGCCATTCCGACGGGAGGCAAGCTAAGAGAAGAGGAAATGAGGGACAAGGAGACGGCAGTCCCCGCCAACACCCGAAGCACCGCTTCCATTGGCGACCATCCCAAAGAGTCCCTCAAGTCTTCGCTGCGCCGGCGACAAAAACAGGAGACGCTAAAATGGCGAGCGCGGGGATGAGAACGAGAGCTCATCGCCGCCGCGCCCGCCGCCGGGCAAGATACTCGTTGCGGCGTCGACGGTGGCGGCGCCGCCGAACGGCAGCATATCGGGGAAGCAGCCGTTCCCCGCATGGTCGCCGCCACCACCACCACTACCACCTCGTCCTTCCACTTTCCGCCTCCTCGCTTTTCCGAAATTCCGCAACCGCAGAGACTGTGGGTTAACGGGCAACGTCCCTCTTCCGTCACTTCTAATGGCAGAGGGAAACGCCGTGAAACGCTTTTGCAGACATATCCATCTCTGAGGCCAAGTGCCAAAATTGTTATTTTAAAATTATCTATAATGCATCCCGTAATTCAGTTTTTTGAAGGCGACAAATTTATAAAATATTATTATATCTAAAAATAGAGTGACCTCATATCGTCTCACACTAGAGTCAAGCTAAGTGTGCCACGTACCCACCCTCACCCTCTCTCCTATCATGACTCATAGGTTCAGCTTTTCTGTCTTTCTCTCTCTTAGCACTGACTCTCTGGTGCGAGGCGCCACGTAGTAATTGAGTGAAGACGTATACGTGGCGGAGAATGGATGGTCCTGCTAGAGAGAGATAAAGTGTGTTTTCCAATCAACTGCCGGCCGTGCAAAAAGGGTAGGATGTCGTGTGCCGACTTGTCGATCGTGGCGGTTTGGACGGGCCCCACCTTATCTGCTCAACGATGGGGTCCGCTAAGGGGCCCACTTCCCAGCGAATGACGACCTCTTGCGCCGGTGGTCCCCGTCGGGAGGGCCTTTTCGGACCCACAACAGGCCGGGCCCACAAATCTTTCCTCATCCTAGCCCTCAAAAGAGAAGGACCGGGCCTGCTGCTACGAAACCAATCGGCCCGTTTATGCGGCCCAGAAACTCGGAGGCCGGCCGTGCCCCCAGCTGCTTGCTAGCCTGAACATACGGACTTTTCGGTATTCTCTCCGGGGCCGGCCCGGATCCAAGATTCTTACAAGAGACCGGGCTCGGCCTGGGCTTGTGGATGATCGAAGCCCGAAGAGGGGGAGAATCGCTTCAGGCCACGTCAGGATTGAGGCGGAAAAGTTGCATGATTTACTGAAAGCCCCTCTAGCTGTTTTAATTAGACTTATGGTTTACTTTTCCTCGCCGCAGTGCTTGGCCGGATTATCCCCCGGTTTTTGTGGGCTGTTTCTGTTCGTGAGCGGGGGTCCGTCGTTATCGTCGGAAGGGAGGGAGGGAGGGAGGAATGGAGGATCTGCGCAGGGCCTCCATACTACTGCTGTTCTTCTCAGTCGGCTTCAACTGGTCTGCAGCTTCGACTTCTGCTGCCTCCTGCTGCGTCTCTTGATCATGGTCCCGTCGGAGACCTGCAGCATGTTTCTCTGCCATGGCCCGCTTTTCAGCGGAATCGGCAGCCGGAGCACGCCCTCTTCTTTGGCCGCCGTTGACAGTGCTCACCCTCCCCGACTCTTGCTCCCTGTGTCCTGCAAGATGAGGCAGAGGAATCTCAGGTTTATTTGATGGGCGCTTCAAGTATTCCTTTATGTTTTTCTCTTTCACGGTGTTCTTTTTCCTTTTCTTGACTCGTGAGGTTATTCTTTGATATTGCTTCTGCCTAGTCAATGCGAAAGGCCATTGGCGTTCTCTTTATGCATACTAGATTAATTTTCTATCTTTCCGGCCGTTTGTCCATTGGTGGAACTCGTACCCGTTTATTTGACATGTGACAGATGGCATTTCTGATTCTTCTCTAATATGTGGAAGTCATACCCATTTTTTAAATATGTGATAGATGGCTATTGGACTTGTTTGCAGTCCATCTTCTTTGAACGTCATGCCAAGAAGATTTTCGTACACGAAAATATTGTGATCATTCTGTCACTTGTCACCAGTTCCACAGAGGGGTTTCCCCAGAAAAACGTGTACTCCTTTGCATCCCCAACTCAAATACTTTCAGTTTTTCCCAAATTAATTTTTGTCAAAGCACTCCGGTACTGTTTGGAGACACAATGATAGAGCCTTTTTTGTTTAGGATTATGTTCTTAGTGTGTGAACAGAGAAGGAAAGCTTATTAACAGGGCTTTCCTCGTGTAATCCTGTTTTTTAATTAAGTCGGATTGCTTTTTTCTTCAGTGAAAATTTTCATACACTTTTCAAAATATTTCTCTACTAAAATTTAGTGGAGTTGTGTGATTCCATGGAAAATTATTGTATATTATGAATTCGCTTTCCTGTGGTATGAACTTATATTTTTTTTCCCAATATTTTTATGTTGAACGTGTGTTTTAACAGAATGGGGTCCAGTGGTACCATCAACATTTTTGTACATTTGCATTCCAATTTATAAATGGTTTAGTTGGAGCACTGTATATTTTTTAGTGCTTTTTATTTTCGAAGTTTGTGAATATGATCATGAATTGAGGCATGTGCAGTTCAAAGGCGAAGAGGCAACAGACTAGAAAGGGTCGTCCTGATCGCTCACCATTGAGGGATGACATAATTAATGGTGATGCAAGTACGTCGAAAGTTCAAAATGCTCCTGATGACTGTGTTTCTAGCTCTCAGTTGGGAACTTCGCTCAGTTCCGTTGTTGCTTCAAGTGCTGGCATCAACGTGGATGCTCAAGGAGTTGATAACAGTTCCTCCCTTGGAGAGAGACATATCGTGGTAATATTTTGAGTCAAATGTGTAAATGTTGCTTTCTATTTGGTTTCATAGCTCAAGAGGTATTATTTACTGAGATTAATCATTCTCATGACATTTGTATCAATAATAATCTTCATGTTAAAAGGTTTTCAACTGCTGATACACTTTCCCCAACACTACTGCCATATTTTTCATGAAACAACTGCAAAAAACATAAGCTTTTAGAAATGGAAGCGCTCTACACTACTCTGGATCTGTTATTGGACTGTCAATGTAAAACTGCAGGATTTTCTAAAAAAATATTTGTTGGATTAGGAAGAGCTTGGTATCTGAAGATATGTTTGTACATTGTGACTGTTGTGTTCTTTTCTCCCTTTTTTCCATTTTTCGGGGACTAGTGCTACTTTTTTTATTTCCACTGCTAGAATTTCATGATATAAATAAATTACATCTGCTTTTAGTATCTGTACAGGCTGAGGAAGTTCCTGGGGAAGAGCCGGTTCAAAGAATAGCTATTGACGATTTGACAGCCATGATCAAAAATGCCGAAAAAAGTGGGAAACGTCTCATCTTTGTTGACATAATCATTTTTGTTACTTTTCTTTCCACTAACCATTTTATAACTTCTTTTTTTTATTAGACATCCTGCTTCTTAATCAAGCTCGTATTAGTGCTCTTGAAGATCTTGACAACATTCTCGTTGAGAAGAAAGGTCTGCATGCCGAAATTAACAGACTAGAAATTGAGTTGTCTGAGATAGGTACACGAAACAAAGTGTCAGTGGAAGAGAAGATGGACATGAATGGTTTTGAAGGTCAGGTTGACGAGGCAAAGGAAGAAATTTCTTCAGGGAAGAGTTTCATGAAAATGGAAAGGAGCAAACATTTCAATGCGGATGGGACATTCACTGATATTGACTTTCTTTCTCTAAATGAGGAACTCTGTTCTTTAAGAGAAGAAAATATGTCTTTGAAGGATGATATAAATATACTAAAAAAAAAACTCTCTGATATTAAGTCAGCTGATGAACGTGTACTGTTGATTGAGGAAAAACACTCTTTCTTGGAGAGTGCTGTTAAAGAACAGGAATCGGATGCTACAGATTCTGTTTCAAAACTTGCAACTCTAGAAAACGAATGCAGCAATCTACGGCGAAAGGTAGAAAATTTGCAGATGTTGCTTGATAGTACAACAAAGCAGGCTGATCAGGTTGCTGAACTCCTTCAGAAAAATGAAGAGTTGCAGAGGAAAGTTGAAAAATTAGAATCATTTTTAAAGGAAGAAAATGGATATAAAATTTCACTGGAGAGTACTAAAAAACATAATGAGCTTCTGCAACAAAAAGTAGAAATTCTGGAGGAACGCCTTCAAATTTCTGATCAAGAAATTGACTCTCACATTGAATTGTATCAGGCATCAGTTAAGGAATTTCAGGAGACACTCAGTAGCTTAAAAGAAGAAAGTAAGAAAAGGTCCGTTCAATTAACATCAGATGATATGCCATGGAAATTTTGGAGTCATTTATTGTTGACCCTGGATGGCTGGTTTCTTGAGAAGAAAATATCCATTGATGATGCAAAATTGTTGAGGGAAATGGCAAGGAAGAGGGATGTCCGAATTCGTGATGCATACATTGCATGTAAAGATAAAAGTGATAATGAAGCTGTGACTATTCTCCTCAATTTGACAAAATCTCTAAAAAGGTCTGTCCTCTATTTCATCATAAATGTGCTTATCTACCAAGTGCTATGCCATTCAAGCCTTTCATATGATTCTTGATGTTTATCATTCTTATAGATTTGACATGTGATATTTTGTAATCACAGTTCCGGACTTCATATTGTTCATATTGCCGCAGAGATGGCACCAGTTGCTAAGGTATGTTGAGCCTAAAATTGGTTTTTATTTTTGTAGGCATCAAGATAACTCTCTTTTAAATGGTGAAGGTTATTAACTCTTAGATTCCCCCCTGTTTATTTTCCATGACTTGTTACGTACAGAATGACTTAATAGAAGTTCCTAGTTGCTCAGCCTTTGTGCATTCCTTTAGATTCAAGAAGTTTTTGATTTACTTTTAATACAGAAATCAAAATATTAATTTATACTTCCATGTTTTCTACGTTCGTTGGTATCTGCTTTTTCCAAGAATGTCAATAATATCTTATCCCTTGAAAACTGATGTCCATTTTGGTAACTTACTTTATTTTTGTCAATAATAACTTTCGTTAATACATCAATCCTGTAGCTTTTTGTTTGCAAGTGATACCCTGTAAGAGTTGGCTATATTTTAAGTTAAACAATGTTATGGATGCACTAGAGCAAGTTTTCGTCCTTGCAGATTAGGCCACAGACTAACAGCTGTACACTTAGGGTCTGTTGATCAACAGCCTTGCTGAGAACTTTGCCCCTCACTAGTTCTTGATTATTATCTTGATCTACTGACTTCGATTGGGATCATCTACAGCAATTCCAATTTAAAGTAGAAAATTTGTCTCCCTTGAAATTATGAAAAGAAAATTTAAAGTTATTGGGTTTTCCAAAATGAATTTTTCTGTTGCAACTGAACGGGGAGGGGAAGAATGATGATAAAAGAAAAAGAAACTGGAAGCTGCTTTGGTGAAATTGCGATATGATTTGTCGGTGATTTGGGTTAATGAAGGGTAAAATTTCTTAACAAAAGGTCATCTGAGACCCTTGTCTTTTCATCTTTTCTTATTGAAAGTTATTTATCCATTTCCATGGAATTCCGAAAATAGGTCTTCGTTTTACGTTTTTTTTTCCTAATCAGCGTTTTCCCTATGTATCAGATGATTGATTTGGCTGATCCGAACCAATGTAAGTTAGGTTTGGGCTATGATCCGACCTCAAACTCTATTTAGAATTGTTGGTACAGGATTTTATGAGAGAATTTTCCTTCTTTGTTCATGTGACAATGTGTGTGATTAGTTAAGATTGAAGCCTTTACTAATGCTACCATGCTATTGAGGCTGGGCCAAGATGATCATGCTCTGTTATTATAATGAGGTCTAGCTGTCAGAGAACTGAGGTAACTAGAAAACCAGGAACCAAGAAAATATGTTTGATCGTTTCGCTCAAAATAAGATGCAGATCCAAATCTCATATCCAAAACTAAGCACCTTGTAGATACTATATCCATTCTGCTCTGAATCATCACATCTATTGTAGAACAACTTATGAACACCATTTTTTTTTATTTTCGTCAGTTTCTTTGTAACATCTTGTAACAGGCAATGCTTTAAAGTTCAAGTGCGAATTTATAACTTCTGATAAGTGGGAAATTTGCAACTATTACCATATTCTGGTTCTGTGATTTTTCCATTTTTTTCTTTCTTCATTCTTTTTTTTCCCTTTTAGGTTGGAGGTTTGGGTGATGTTGTTTCTGGTTTAAGTAAGGCGCTTCAGAAAAGAGGTCACCTTGTTGAGATTATTCTCCCAAAGTATGATTGCATGAATCACGATCTTATTAGTGATCTGAAGGTATGATAACAATCACTAAAGGGTTTCTTAGCTGTTTATATTTTTTATTTCAGCTTTTTCTGTTTTTCAAGTAGTTATCCCTGTGACATAATGATCTTACCAGGAGTCACACGTAAGTAACGAGGGGGTTCGCGCCTGTACGTGTTTAGTGTGGTTTTTGGGGATATCAAATCCTTTTCAAAGAAATACAATAAGCTTTTTTTGTATAAATATTATTTACATTGACTTGTAAAGGCTATTTTTCCAGGAACTGGATATGACAGTACATTCTTACTTTGATGGACAGCAATTCGGAAACAAAATCTGGGTTGGGATTGTTGCAGGTTAAGATACAGCTTTGTTTATTTTCGTTTTCTTCAAAATATCATATGAGTGATCACTGATTACATTTCTTGTGTTGCAGGACTTCCGGTATATTTCATTGAACCTCATCATCCAGGGAAATTTTTCTGGCGAGGGCAATACTATGGAGAGCATGATGATTTTAAACGTTTCTCTTTCTTTAGCCGTGCAGCGCTTGAATTACTTTTTCAATCCGGAAAGAAACCAGATATTATTCATTGTCATGATTGGCAAACAGCTTTTGTTGTATGGCCTGCTCATCATTTTCACTTCATGCGCAATATGAATCTTTGTTCTTGTATGGCCCATAGTCCTTTCTTTTAATTCTATATAATTTTTTCTTTTCAGCCACCACTTTACTGGGATGTTTATTCAAGCAAGGGTTTCAACTCTGCTAGAATTTGTTTCACATGCCATAATTTTGAATATCAGGGTGTATCCCCTGCTTCGGAGTTGGCATCTTGCGGTCTTGATGTTCATCACTTGCATAGACCAGATAGAATGCAGGACAATTCATCTCATGAAAGAATCAATCCTGTAAAGGTGGGCAAAATGAATCTTCAAGAAAATGGCGTATGCTATTTTTTTGGTCATTGTTTCAGGGTATTAAACTTTCCTACTTCTTCAGGGTGCAGTTGTGTACTCTAACATTGTCACGACAGTGTCACCAACTTATGCTCAAGAGGTTCGGACTGCAGAGGTACATGTTTTGACGCTTAAATAGATGCGTAACCATGAAGTGGCACATATATTACCTCGTGATTTTTATTTTTTGTTATTTTATCGTGAGAAGATTTTGTTTCTGTTCTACCGTCTCTTTTAAGCAATTGGCCTTCTAGGGATTCTTTTGATTTTTAGCTTGCACCATTTGGATTCTTTCTGCTATACTGTCACAATGGTTTCACAAAAAGCCGATATATCTATGAGTCTACTTGGGTGTTCCAGCAGTCGGACTATTTTTCATTTTAATGTATTAGTTTTTAATCATTTAGAATATGGCCCTATATACCCTCTCAAGCCTCTTCAACTGTGAGGTCCAAAAAGGAAGCTGTGGTGCCTCAATCATGTATTTGTTCCCTTCCTCTGATTCCTCTCTTTCTGCACCTCATTAGGTCACGTCCCCACAAATATACCCTTCCCCATTTTAGATGGAGCTGTTCCTTCCATTGACGGTTGAGATAGGTTTTAATAACCTTGTGAATGGATATAGATATCTGCTTATCTCAGCAAAGTGTTTGCTCTGTACCTTGTGAATGGATAGGTTTTAGCACCCTTAGTGCACTGATCTCCATCCTCGTTGTTCTTTTGTGTCCTCTTTCCTCTCAGCCCTCTTCCTACTTATTTTGAACTACCTGATCCTTCCTCTGCGGCTCCACTTCATCGCTTTGCATTCTGGTGGTCTCCAACTTCCTATTATCATCACTGCTTCCTAACATTTACTCATCTCTCCCTCTCTCTCCATCTCCATCTATCTTCTGCCAGTGACCGCTGCAACCACAGCAGGAGAGAGAGAGAGAGAGAGAGAGGATGGAGGGATTGTTTTTAAAATTGTTGCTACTCCCACCTATCTTGGTGTGGTAGTGAGGCTATGTTGACTACGATGGATGTTTGCTCCTGCTGACTGTTAAGGATCTTTTGAACTGTCTAGGCTTATCTCACAACATAAGCACCATCGATGCCCCCCATTTCTTTAGAGTTTTATCTCCGCTGCATGCTACTCTAATTTCAAGTCTATCTCTGCTGCTTCAGCATTACTCCAAACATCTTCTCTAGCTTCATCTTTGGAGTTTACTACTTTGGCCTTCCCTATCCTTACTTCTGCTGCATCTATTTTGTCAACTTCAACTTTGGCCTCTACTGCTCGAAGCTCAGCTTTGATGCCTATTACTTTAGCTTTAGCTCTGGTATACTATTTACTGTTTTGTCTATTTTTTAGTTTTCTACAACTTATCTAGCTAAGTCCAACGAACTAAATATATTTTCTTAGTTTGATGATCATTGATGAGCCTATTTGGACATCACCTATTTATTTGTGTATCTTAATAGAATATCATTGTCCAATGTTATTGTGTCATTGGGTCATATAGGGTATGGGTCCGGCAGGGCCATATTAGGTCTCTTACTGTTTTGCCACTTCGTTCTCTACATGTAAATAGGTGAGGAAGGGGCACGAATTTAACTTGATTATCGCTCTTAACATTCATCACTAGAAATTGGAACTAGATAATATCTTTTTTTTAAAAAAATGAATCACTAAAGTTCATATTAGCATCCACCACGACATCATTTTCTTGCTTTTTGTATTCTATTTTAAGTTAATAAAAGTTTTTTGTAGAAATTTATCTGAAGATATTAGTAAGGGAATTGAAGTTACTGCTTTGGAGATGTCTATCCTGTAACAAACTGATATGTACTTTAGTGGACACGTCTATCCTTGATTTTAGTCTGTTTACTGGAGGAAAGTGCCATAGAGTTGTCATAAGATTCTGATCACTTTTTCGATGGATTTCTCTTTCAAGGGAAATGAAGCTACTATCATGGAAAGATTCATCATGCTTTTTAGTTTGTTAGATCAATGTTTTTTTTTATTTGTAACGCTCATTATTACTTGTGCCCGAAAAACAGTGCCTAAAAATAACAAGTTTTTGCTATCAAATTTAGCGCTGTACCTTATAGCGACTTTATATTAGCGTTTAAGATGTACTCCCAAATTCGAACTAGGTTTAAAATGTTCAGGTGTTCGTCACAGGGGGGACGAGGACTTCATGAAACCTTGAACTTTCACTCTAGGAAGTTTGTTGGAATCCTAAATGGAATAGATACAGATGCATGGAATCCGGCGACCGATTCTTTTCTCAAATATCAATATAGTGCTGATGATCTCCAAGCCAAGGAAGAGAATAAAGCAGCCGTAAGAAAGCACCTCGGCCTTTCTTCAGCAAATGCGTCTCAACCACTGGTAAGCGTTGCCTTATACCCTGGATTAGTATGTAACATTTGGTTTTCTGATCCGTTATTGTACATTTATTCTTGAGCCACATATTTTCTTACCTTTTTGAAATGCAATTGCTCTAAGCAACAAGTTATCTGCATCTATTTGTGTGAGTGCTTTTTTAACATGCCATTGAACACATGGTCTGCTTAAAGTCTCGAGATTGGTCATTTTCATATGATAACTAGATAACTGTTGGTAGGATTGTCCTTCTTTCTGTCATAATCCTTCTAAAAGGACGAAATTCTTTCAGTTCTGACCTCAACTGTACGTAGATTTTTTAGGCCACTGCATAGATTAGGTGCAGAAGATAGTTTCACATTAAACACGAGTGATATTATGGTAAGAAAAAAGTCATTGGTTACCTTTTCTATTGAGGAAGCGCCTATCATATATGCGTCTCCACAAGTCCATCAGGGTCATCGAATTAGATCTTATTTGAACTCTTGATTCAAAAGACATGTTACAATCTCTGATCTAAAATCTCCTGTATAATCCACGGTTTATTCAACATATACCATATATGCAAAGTTGAGTATGATGTACCCGTCGATGTTTCATGGAGCTCTTTGAGCATCCTCACATAAATGGATAGTACACCTCATCTAGTCGATATAATTGGAGGATCGTATTGGGGATGGAAAGTGGAGGTGGGGGCTGGGGTTGCCTTGTTAATTGGTCACTGCTTGATACTTTCCCCTCTTTTGATGGCTTCTTCTTTCCAACAGTATACAGGACTATGGTAGAATACAGAGCTACTAAAAAAATTCTCTTTCATGTATTAATTTTTCACATGGACGATGTGAAAAACTGTCATTGACAATAGGGTGATTGGAAAATAATGTGACTTGTCTTCAATGTGATCCCTTATGCCATTTGAAATAAGATGGCTAATCAGTCTTTTTCATAAACAGAGTTGCTAAGAGGGTTTCAGTGCGAGAGAGTGGGTTATGCCAATCTGTAATGAGGAAGGACGGTATTCCTTGATCCTCTGAGGATTGAGGTTTTAGTAGGTTCTTCTTCATTATCTTGTTGTAGACTTCAAAGATTTTCTGTGGAAGCTTTTCCCAGAATCCTCGATGTATAATCTATTCTAAATATTCCATGAATATGTGGTACTATCCATGCAGTATTGTAGTTCTTGTGCTGTTGAATAATCTATATATTTGAACTGTGCCATAGGGTTCTGATTGGCAAAGGGTTGATGATATTGACATTTAGAGTTGATGAGGCCTAGCAAAAGACCTAAAAAGGATGAAGGAAGACGAAGACAAAGAGGAAAAAGGAAGAAATATTCCCTTATAAGGTGGGGTACGAACTGGAGAGTCGGTCATCTCTTCCCGCTTCCACCGTCGGTTTTTCTACTCATGCCTTAGAGTTACATCGAAAAGACATTTAGCCCCCGTTTACCCCCATCTTCTGAAGAAGTACCTGCCGTAGTCCAATAAAAGGTGAGAAAAGGGATATTGTCCGCAGCAAGGGGGATGGTCCCACCCACTAAAACGGACCGGTCCACATAATGAACCATAGCCTAATAAGCCATGCTCAACAAGAGTGTTTAGTAATTATTCTAGAGCTGAATATTTTAAGTGGCTAACATCTAAATAATGTTTTTTTGCAGATTTGATGTGCTTTAGATGTATTTTACCTTCAAATAGCTCATTTAGTCATTGAAAATTTCTCCAATGGAGTCAAGGGGCTTGAAGTACTCTGACAACAGAACTATAATTTTTCCTAACTCATGAAAAAAATTAAAATGCTTTTTCTGCCTGAAACAGATTACTGAAAAGTTGGGTAGCATGACTGTTTTACCCTGTTTTGGCTTTCAATGGATTGCCCAGTTTAGTGAAACCCAGACTTGGAAGTTTTCCATGTCATAACCATGTCATAAATCCAGTTCAATGGATTTACCCTGATTATTCATTTCCATGTCATAATGGCATGCAGGAAGGTGGATGGTTAAATGTTAGTTTTATATAATTCTTCATTTGTTAACCTTAATTTCCTGATGTGCAAACATCAATGCATATGTGTGTTCTGCAGCTTGTAGTTCTGGATGACTTGGTTACTTAACCAGTATTTATTCAATAAAAAATAACATGTAACTTGATGCCTCGGATACTTTAGGTCATTTTATGATAATCTCGTGAATGTTAAATTTGTCTTATTAGAAAGATTTGCAATCTGCAAGAAAGTTAGTAAAATGTTGTTATTGTCAACTCCTGAAAATGGCATGGCTAGTTCGTGTCTAAACTAATATGGAAATCCCAGCATGATGTTTTCAATATCATTGCATCCATTCGAGAACTAATGCTCAGCAGCTTATTGTTTACTAGTATAATGCTTTTGGAGTCCTTTAATAGACCACCTGCCACTTATTGGCATGGTTTTAGTTGTTCACTACATGAAATGATTTTTTAATTTAAATTCCAAGTGACACAACTTTTTTACTAATGGCATTTATCATGTTCTTTTGTATGTTCACTAATGTTCGTAACTTTCTTTGGAATTCTGGAGTAGGTTTGTTGCATTACGAGATTGGTTCCTCAGAAGGGTGTACATCTTATCAGGCATGCAATCTATCAAACTTTGGAGCTAGGGGGGCAATTTATACTTCTAGGATCAAGTCCAGTTACTCACATTCAAGTAGCTCTCTAATCCTCATTGTTGTAATCATTCTTAATTTTGCGACTGATAGTATTTTCAGCAAGTATCAAGTCTTCAATGTGGGTGAATATTTACCGATTTCATATATTCATTTCCTATTTATATTGCGTCCAAAAATGAATTACTGACATTAACTAGTGACATGAAAATCTAGAATTCTGTCATCTTTTCTTGAATATTCATCTAATGGCGTATACTTGATATCAGAATTTCATTCTTTCGGTCATTTCAGATAGATAAGTTTAGCATTTAATCACTTAAGTTACGATGCCAACTTTGTGGGATCCCTATGTTTACAATTGTGCTCAGCTACTATTTAGTAACTGTACAGATATATTGTATTGTTTTTAAGATGCCCACGCGGATCTAAGTTTAATGAGGCAGTGATTCACTTAACATAAGTTCCACTATCCAACATAATCCATAATATTATGAAATTTATAGTGCAGGGATTGTATGCAATTAGTATGCCCATCTGAATGGATCAGGCTCTTGTTAGCTCTCGCTTTTTAGCAGCTTCAATAATTTAAATTAGACGTTTTACTCCACGCCTGCAAACTCAATTGATTGTTAGTCATCTCTTGAAGATTAGACGATGTGATCATTAAAGGATACTATTTTTTTTTGATAAAAATTTGCGAATTTCAACTTTGAATTCATTCAAACACTCTAATGTGGAAAAATCTCTTACATTTTTCTCCAGCCTTTTCTCCGAAGCCACTGGTATTTTTTTCAAAGCCTCTAGTTACAGAAATGCTAGATAACGGAATAAACTGAGAATGTCCCAAATTCACTCCTCACGGTTTGGTAGACTTTATGAAATGATGGAAAGCACTGCTCCAGATAGAAAGCACGACTCCCCAAACCAGATAGTTCACGATTTGATGATGGTGTCCAGCAAAAGTAGGTTGGTCAGAAATAACTTTGGGTGTGGTAACTGTGCTCCGAAGAGGGGGTGGAGAGCGAGAGAGCGAGGGGAAGAGAGAGAGAGAGAGAGAGAGAGTTTGTTAGAGGGTAGGGACAACCTGAACCTCAAACAACTATTTTGAGCAAAGATGAAGGGTGCAGGTGGATGGTAACTTTAGATTTATGTATAATGCTTCATATTATATGTATGGACTTGTGAGTGAGTATGCATAAAAGTGATGGGACCAAAAATAGGCCAGGGACAACTGTGTGAAATGTTTATGGTGAACGTGATGGAGCAGAAATGGGTACAGGATGGATATCACTTTCTGCACTGTTTATTAAAAATCAGCGCTGTGACTTCTTTTACCAAAATGCTGAAATATCCACACTCCATTACATTTTTTGTGCCTTATTTTGGTTCTGAAATGTATCTTGACACCACTTATGCAAGAACTAATTTTGCTCAAAGTCTAGATATGTTTCTTTCACGCACTTTTGACTGAATTTTTTTTTTACTTGATGAGCTTGATAATGTGATAGAGGAATCCCTCTATAGACTGATAGAGGGATATTCCCGGCGTATTCTTATAGACTGATTTTGTGAGCAGCTTCAAATGCGACGGAAATAGGCTAATATTGGATCATTTCTTTTCTCCAGTTGTACATAGTTGAAGCATGCTCTCTAGTTCATCAGCATGTAGAATAATCGGAGTGTGGATGTCGAATTGTGGAGGCATCTTTGCTTCGAGACTTTGAAACTGAAACTTGTATTAATGGTAAAAAAGAAAGTTGTGCCGTCAATTTGCAGTGTTTATGCTCTTCTATTCTTTGTGAAAGATGGAAAATTTCAAATTCAAGCTGTTATTTTGGTAGTGTTTTATGGGCTTTCTGTAAAGTGACATAGGAATACGATTTTCCTTATGATAATATTGTCACAGTTCCATCAAGTGAGAAAGTACCAACCTTTTGAAAGTTGAGTTTACGAATCTGAGTGGAGTTTCCATTTGAAGAATCTATTTTGGGCTTTCATTTTGTCCTCAAGAGAGCTGCACTATGCTGGATTTTATTATTGCCATAAACTCTTAATATATACTCAGTGTTACACAAGAGTTACATTTCAATAAATGTATCTCTACATGTAATCTTTAGGATCAAAATGTAAGTTTATCACAAAATTCTCATGTGAAAGTAATCTTGTAACCATCTCTTTTGGTGCTTCGCAAATAATTATTTGAGTTGCAGCACGCAATGTGTCTTTTAAGTATCATCAATATTTGGATTCTGTCTTTCCCGCCTTGTTATTGTAGAAGGGACTTTTATATGTTCTCCTTGAGCATATTATTATTTCATCAACTAATCTTTCTCTCTGAAATTTTCAACAGAGGGAGTTTGAAGAAATTTCAAATCACTTCCAGAACCATCCTCATGTTCGGCTGATATTATCTTATGATGATGCGCTTTCCCATGCTATTTTTGCCGCATCAGACATGTTTGTCATTCCATCCATTTTTGAGCCCTGTGGCCTCACCCAGGTATTTATTGTGACGACTTCAATGAATTAGCTGAATCATAGTTGGCAATAAACTTGAAGTTCTATACTCAGTTTCTAATATCCCAGAATATTTTTTTGTAGATATTACAACCTGAGACTTAATTTAGATCTCAACCACTAATTTTAGCATTTATGAATCTGTAGAAGTTAGATCCTGGGTGTCTAGAAGAGTACCGGGACAGTTAAAAGAATTTTAATAATTTGAAGGATAGTGAGAAGACACTCACCTAATGTCATGGGAAACAACCTAAATGGCTAGGTGAGTGCCTAGTTATCAATTTACACATTGTTGATAGTTTGAACGATTTTCCTTTTTGTGTGCTTCTTTTTAGCTTAAAGGCGTAATCCACTTTAAAAAAACCTTAAATATTTGTCTGTCTCGGGAAGATGCATGTGAAAAAGTTATAAATAACTTATTATTACCAAGCCTAAGGTTTGTTAACTTGCTACTAGTCGCATTTCTTCGGAGATGTGATTGATTTGTTCATTGAACTTCAAATTACTGTGTGGGTGAGTAAAATCGCACGAATGCTGCCAATATTAAGGCCTAAAATAATTGACATGGTAGGACTCGGTGTCATTTCTAACACAGTTATTGTTGGAAATGGCTTTTGATCTTGACAGATGATCGCAATGAGATATGGTTCTGTGCCCATTGCGAGGAGAACTGGAGGCCTAAATGATAGGCAAGCGAACATTCTTACCCATCTGTAGCTGACACCCATCTTTCTGTACCCGAGTACGACTTACCCACATCTTCTTCCAGTGTCTTCGATGTGGACGATGACGCAATCCCAGTACAAGTCCGCAATGGTTTCACCTTTCTTGTACCTGATGAGCAGGTAGAATCCACGTTTCAGATACTAATTCTCCTATTCACCCAGTACGATCTTGACATGCTACACTCTTCACCATTGAACAGGGGCTGAGCGGTGCCATGAAACGAGGATTCAAGCTTTATATGAGAAATCCTGATGCCTGGAGAGATCTTGTCCAGAAGAACATGGCAATAGATTTCAGTTGGGATTCTTCTTCTGCACAGTACGAACAGCTATACGAGAACTCCCTCGCCAGAGCACGGAAATCCAGCCGAGAGAACGATTCGTGACGTGCATGCTGGAGGATCTTCCCAATTACTCAACTACTAGCGTGATTTCATGAGATGTGATGGAGATCGCAGTGCACTGTGGATGCGCCTCAGAGGCTGAAGTATTTGAAGGCTTCCTACTGAACATGCATTTGAGGTGATTCGATTCCATTTTTGCGTTCTGCAACCTGCCGTTGGATCTGTCAGCATTCTTTCATTCAAATTCTTATATACCTCTCCCGTGGAAAATAAGGATTGCTATCTTAAAGACCTACATCTTAGACTCTGCAGGTACTTTGTTCAGGGACGAATTCATTTAGTATTTGTCTATCACTCTCTGTATCAATCCAGGAAAGTCCATTCTCCTAATCATATTCTAGCTAGTTACTGTGATCTGTTCCATCTGTTCTAATGGGGCCAGGGGAGTTGACTTATACAGATCTGGGTAAATTCTATGCACTGCCCGTTTTAGTGTTGCTTTTCTGCTCGCATCATCTCCTTTCATTTATTTACCACTCAAACATAGTGTTGGAAATCACTCAGACAAGTAAATGCTTCTTCTGTAAAATGTGAATGGCGTGGAAGGCCTCTCTATTGGAGTACTGAATGTCATAGTTTATTCTCTTGTACCCTTCAATGCGTGGGAATAGAGAATTGGTTGCTTGTAAAGTGGGATGAGTTCAATAAGATGGCAGAAATTGATGATGTTCCACAGGTTGATGAGGTGATATATTTTCCCATAAAATTGAGCAAGCTTGATGAAGTTGCATAAGCAGATAAACATGTATGAGCTATTTGAAATTAAGTTGCATCACACACAAGCATGGTTGCATCTATCCCATGGGTATAAGGAATGATATCACATGGGCATAACTACGTCTCACAAGTTTTAAGTATGGGTTTTCATGATTGTAATGTTATCATAGACTTGATCATATCATTCTAATGTCAAACCTTGTAGAAATAGTGCATCTTTGCTTCAATAGATGCCGATGCATGACTCTCTTGCTCATTGCTATTCCATGAGCGCTCACATCTTTTCTTTTCTTTTTTTCTTTTTTTACTTTACAAGTGTCAACGCTTGAACATTTGAAGTGCCAAAACATGATGAATCTGTTCATTATTTTTCTTTCAAGTAATGATTCTTGAGCACCATGTCTTGACACCTAGTCTCTATGACTTGAATATTTCACAAAATTTCAATCTAATACGTGGACTTAACCATATGTTAGTAGTCTCCTATAAAATATAGTCTAATAGGCTCAACAATGAACATATATTGGTCTCAATTTTTTTACACGTTTTGATTGGTATTCCATAACTAGGGCCCAATAATATTTCTCTATTACCTGCTTTCAGATATATTTATCGGCCCATTGAATCCTTGCAAAGTCCACCAAGAGGGTCTAGGATCTCTTCTTGGTTAGCTCTCTTCTTGTGATTGCATCTGAGCCTTGGGTTTAAGGTCCCTAGTGAGTAAGAGTCATACTAATCAGGAGAGTAACCTCTTGTGAGCATTTATGTTGTCTACCATCGTCGTCCTTCATAACCATACTAATCAGGATAAGATGAAAATATCAGTCAGCCCTATCTATTTTATTGGGGAAAATAGGTTTCTGTGATCATTCCTTCGTGTTGTTTAATAATCATTATAAAGATTGTGGGATATGTTGATGGGAATAAAGATTAACTCAAGAAATCTCTCGAAGATAAATTTAAATTTTGAAGAAAATAGTGTTAAGATAATGTGTTGGATCATTAACATTGAAAAATTGCGAGATTGAATTGAAGATTTCACCAGACCACACCATATGTTGAATTTCTTAGAAAAGATTTTCCATCAGGATAATAACGAAGGAAATATAATCTAAGAATATGATTTTGGTATCATGAATTTACCACTTTAGTATATAATATTTCAAATGAAATGGAAAAACATATTGTAAGCGAATAATTTTAAGAAGAAAATATGAGAGAATAACATTATTTATTATGAAGCTTAGCAAGAAATTCAAACATAGTAAAATTTGGTGAATTAACTGGTCTTGATATAGTGGACTTTTTAATAGACACCTTTCATGAGATTATCACATTATAATGGGGACATATACAATCGAAAGTGCTAAACTATATTGATGCAGCAATAAATTATAATGATAAATTATAATAAAATTTAATGAAAATGTGTGATGCTGTCCTTGAGCACATTATGAAAAGTTATAGCTATGGTTGAGAAAGCAAGATTATATCATTATTACTAGAGGAAATGGAACACCATCACAAAGTATCATAGTTGCTCTCTATAGAAAAATATTGAAGCATTATACACCATTGTTGGCATTGCACGTTTTTTTTTCCTTAGCATTTAACTCAATTGGAAACATCCAAACACCAAACAAACAATGAACTAACCGTTCAAATAATCTGCTTTATCCACCACGGCTATTTCACATAAAACTTCTAATGCACCGCATGTGTTTAAGATTTCTCTCCTCAAATACATACCCTTCTCATAAGAAATTTGTCCTCCTAGTTTTTTATCATCTTAATTGTGGTGGCTGTAATTTTTATTGGAAGATTAGTCATGCCAATAGAATGGGTGGAATTAACATTGGAAAATCCACACTTATGAATGCCTATCTTGTTCTCAAATTTTCTACCAATCTGATATCTAGTTGACAGCTCATGGATGAAAATTGTGAGATGATATTGCCTCCTGCTTGTTGTACTGTTCAGGACTTAATTGAACATGGGGAGAGTAATTGGTAAATTAAATAAAAATGGACAGTCTTTTACAATTGGAGAACAATTAAATAACATCTACATTCTCAACTTCCAGTGTGGATGTTTTTTAAGAAGTAGATGGAATGGAATTGTACATTAGATCTTGAATACAATGCCAACGTTCATGTCATCAATACTGTAGATGAGTCTTCTCCTTCCATTTCTTCATTCATTTTATGCTTTCTCACTTCACTTTTATCGCTAAACTGAAGAAACTCAATCGATTTCCTAAAGAAAACTTAGTCAGCATTGAAGCTTACGAAAATAAAAAGCATAAATAAATTTAATTAGTTGAATACTGATACTTCTCAACTAATTGATGCCCTTGTACTTATACCTAATTTTAGGTTTGATAATTTTCTAGATGTTTGCTCATCATTATCACCAACTTGTTAGATGCAGATTTCTAACCTTGTCATTTCTACCCACTAATCTGCATTTCACATTTGCATGATCATTTGTGAAAAGCTATATGTGGAATCGCATTCTCGTGTCTTATTAAACTCATTTGGTGTAGATATTAGAAAGCCTATAAGATTATATGTGCATTTTCACAGCCTCCTAGTGAATTTACAATCCAATGAGTTTTTTAAGCCATTCTCGCCTCCATTGCCACTATCATTCAACTGTTCCAATCCAAGTTGAGACGTTTTTTCCCTTCAATAAATCATTTCTTTCACACTTGATGTTTCATTTTCCTTCTTCTATTTTTAATCACATCTTAAATTCCTTAGTGTGTTATTTATCTTTCAAAATGTTTATATGAAAAAAAGTTCCATGTAAAAAGACCGCTAATACGGATGTGCTTGAAACGGAGGAAGGTGGGTCAGGAGAAAGAAACAGATTCTCTGTTTCGGTAGATGAAGCATAGGACTCTGTTAGTCGATTCTTTGGACCCTGACTTTCGTTGGCCAACAATCCCCTATATATCCTTGTTAGGTTGAGTCTTTCAGTTGGAAAGGCCAGGGAAGTAGATGTAATATTTTAATCCAATAAGTCATTCTTCATTACCATGAATTCCTGTTGTTGGAATGCCTCAAACACAAGTTCCTAATTGTATATTAAAGGGGTCAACTAATCTTGAGTGAAAAACATCCTACTTGAGGAGAGTGTGGGATCAGAGAGTGACATTGAAAGTAATGAATCTTCTTGAATGATAGAGAACAACAGTTTGGTGTCAATGATTATTAACTGTTAAAACTCAAGTTAATAGGCATATTGAAAGGTGGCAAACAGATTAAAAACGTTTTAGATAACTTATTAAGAGACTTTTATATGAGAAAGATGAATATTTCTTGAATTATGTCTTGTCTTTTATGTTTTGCGACTCGCTTCTAAACAGTAAGATATGAAGAGTGAATTTCTACTATAAAATTAAAGAAAATGTTCCTGTAGATCTACAACCCATCGTAAAAGTGGAGAAAATCATGTCTCGAATCCATGTGGAATAAAATCTTGGATCCTCAAATCCATCAGGATGGACAAGAATGATCTTCGAATATAAAAATGGGTTCCCTTGAGTCCACATTGAGAGAGACCGCTAAAATAATATTTCGACATTAAGGCCTTTTGGTTTGCACTCTTTGGACACCTTCCATTGCCTGTGAATTTGTTCTACATCAGAGCATTAGGTTGTAACAAAGTTTGTAGACCGAAGAGATCACTCTATGAATTAAAACAAACTCTTAGAACATGGTTCAACTTGTTTAGGTCTCAAACAAAAGAGTTATGAACATTTATAGAGTAAGGTGTACCATGCAATGTATTCTAAGCACACTCTTGCCTTTTAATACACTTTATAAATGTGCATGGCATTATCTCAGCATGTGATGATCTTACTGAAAATGATATATTAATAAAGATATTTCTGGACAATAAGCCAAAAGTCAGAGATTATTAAGGTACTTTACGATTAAGGAATTTAATGGTAATTAGATTTGACGGACTTGAACAACAAAGGATGGGATTTGAGGGACTAGGAGGAAATAGAAATTAGATTTACTCTAAGAAACTGGTAGGTTGGGGTGATAAATAACTTTGATTTGAAGTGTTAAACGAGGAGCCAACTTATATATTAACTTAGTGTGCCTTTTCTCTAGTAAGCCCATTTGGCAGACCAATGCTGCATTTTACTACTTGGGAGATGGATTATACATGGTGAGAATGAGTTGTTTCCCTTTATAAATTCAGAGCTGTAGTAAATTCTTACAGAAGGAAACAAGAACACAAGCTCTCTT